AAAAAAAAAAAAAAAAGAAATAACTTGGTTTCATCCTCTCCAAGACAGACCTATTTGTTTTCTTGGCTATCCATGGTATAGTCAAATCTCTTTTCCAGCACCACAACTCAAAGGCATTGATTCTTCTGTGATTCTTAATCATTGTCCAGCTCTCTAAAACATAACAAGTAATTGCAAAGATCATGGCCTTGATCAGACGTACCTTGGCCTCTAGACTAACATCATTGCTTTTCAGCACTCTGGAGAGGTCCCTGATAGCAGCTTCTCCCCAGTGCAATTCATCTTTTGATTTCCTGACTGGTGGTGTTAGACCATTGATTGTGCATAGGAATACCCTAAAGAAACAAGAGCTGCGACCCAAGCAGATATATGCACATCGATTTTTATTGCTGCTTTGTTCACAATAGCAAAGAGTTGGAAACAAACCAAGTTGCCATCAATAAACAAATGGATAGAGAAGCTGTGGTATATTCACACAATGGAATATTATGCAGCATTGAAAAACAAAGAACTCATGAAATACTATACAAAATGGGTAACTATGGAGGACATTATGCTGAGTTAAATATCTCAATCATGAAAAGACAAATACTGCACAATACCACTGTTTCAGAACAGGACTGATGTGGGGGTTAAGGGAAACAGAAAGGAGGGAATAAATAATGTACATGGTATTGAAACAGACGAGGAAACTGTATAAAAGGAATATATGATTAAGTATTATTGGCATGACAAGAGTTCAGAATAAGAGTTGCACAGTAAAGTGGTTTGTGGTGGGGGCAGGGGAGGATTGTATAATTTCTAATTTTGTAGCACTGTGCTCTGATAAGATGCTTTGTATTATTTCTATACTTTTTAATTTATTGCTGTTTGCCTTATGTCTTAAATGTGATCTATTCTGGAGAACGTTCCATGCACATTGGAGAAGAATGTTTCTATGCTTTTCGGGGGTGCATTAGCCTGTAAATATAAGATCGAGTTGGTTTATTTTGTGGTTTACTTCTTCAGCATGTTGTTTAGTTTTTTTTTGGAAGTTCTATCTTTTCTTGAGAGTGGTGTATTGAAGCTCCAACTACTATAATAGTGATGTCTATTTCTTTTTTTTTAGTTTTGTTAATGTTTGTTTTATATCTTTTGCAGGTCTTTTATTTGGAGTATAGATATTTTTTATTGTTATGTCTTCTTGTTCTAGCAACCACTTTAACATGAAGTCATCTTCCTTGTCCTTTATAATGGTTTTTGCATTAAAGTCTTTTTTATCAGAGATTAATATTGCCACTTCTGCTTTTTTTCTGGTTGCCATTTGCTTGGTATATTTTTACCCAACCTTTTATTTTTAGTTTTTTTTTTCTTCATTTTTCAGGTGTATCTCTTGTAGCCAGCATATGGATTTTGTTTTATCCAGTCTGCTACTCTTTTTCTCTTCAGTGGTACATTCAAACCATTTACATTCAGTGTGATTATTGAGAGGAAAGAATCTGTTGCAATCATTTTGTTGAATTCTTTTTGGTGCTGTTGCTAGTTACTTTGGTCCCTCCTGCTTTCTGTAGCACTTCAGTAAGAAGGACGTCTCTCAGTGTTTCCTGCAGTGCTAACCTTGTTTTTATTAACTACCTTAGGTTCTGTTTTTCTGGGAATACCTTAATCTCTCTTTCCTATTTGATGGACAGTTTTGCTTGGTATAATATTCTTGGTTGATAGTTGTGTTCTTTGAGTATTTGCTATATGTCATTCCATTTTCTTCTTGCTCACACGGTTTCTGCTGAGAAATCAG